ACCACTTGGAAGTCAGAACCCCAGAAAATGAAGACAAAATATACAATCACAGTGAAGATGGTAAGAAACCACGAATAGAACATCCAAGAATTATGGGACACCATCAAAAGACCAAATTTAAGATTTTGGGGGATAGAGGAAGGTTCAGAGACTCAAACCAAAGGAATGCACAATCTCTTCAATGAAATAATATCAGAGAATTTCCCAAGCACGAAGAATGCATTGGAAAATCAATCTCAAAATACAAGAGGCGTATAGGACACCAAATGTACAAAATTACAACAGATCTACACCAAGACACATTCTAATGAAAATGCCTAGCATACAGAATAAGGATAGAATTTTAAAGACCTCAAGAGAGAACAATCAGATTACCTTAAGGGAAGACCAATTCAGATCTCAGCAGATTTTTCAACCCAGACTCTAAAAACCAGGAGATCCTGGAACAACATATACCAAAACTCTAAAAGATAATGGATGTCAACCAAGAACCTTATATCCACCAAAATTAAGCTTCAAATTTGACGATGAAATAAAAAACTTCCATGATAAACAAAAGCTCAAAGAATTTACAGCAAGAAAACCTACACTACAGAACATTCTTGGCAAAATATTTCATGAGGAAGAAATGAAAAACCATGAATGATAATCTGCAAAGAGAAGAACTACAATAAAGGAAAAGCCAACCAAAGGAGAAACCAAGTCAAGCTAAATACCAAAAATAAGCAAAATGTCCAGTAATATAATTCATGTCTCTTTCAACCCTTTTTGATAAATTTTTACACATAAAAATTTTAACTACAATATCATCTAATTTTTCAGGTTTTTGTTTATTTTGTAATTTTAGTTTTCCATTTCTCTTCACAAAGTTACACAAATATTTTCTTTAAAAAGTTTAGCATTTTATGTTATATTTTATTATATTATTAATCTGGTATGTGTATACATTGTGTGTGATATAAGATGAGGTATATTTTACTTTCTTATAATTAAAAAACTATTATTCAAGATTCAAGGATGAAAAAGATCAATCAGGGTAAAAATTGTTTAATAAGGTATTTATAAAGGTAAGGACAAGTTGAAGGAAACCAACAAATTTTGTGAAGCACCTTTCCTTCTGTAGACTTAGAGAGGTAGGTGAAAGAAGAGAGCCATTATGAAAACCTTGTTGGAGAAGGTGAACTAAAGTAATTCCCACCAAAAGCATGAAGAAACCAACTCACAGTCTAATAAAATTCTTACAGGGAGGAATAAAGGAACCTCACTCTACTCTTGTATATTTTAAGTTCATCTCTTTGGTGTCCCTTTCTGACAGAATTCAACAAGAAATCACATAACGAGGGAACTTATCATGCAGCCTACAGCATGTCTCACTAAAAGGTGAAAGATGAAGAAGCCAATAAGGCAGCCATTGCCTTACATGAGGCTACTGAGTATTTGAAATGTGTCTAGTCTGAATTGAGAGTATGCTATTCATTAAATAGACATTAGAATCCAAAGAATTACTAGGACAAACAAAATGAACTTGAAATATCTTACAATTATTTTCTTTGCAAATTATGTTGGTAATCCATTGAGTTAAATGAAAATATATTAAAATTAATTTCTCTATTTGTTTAAAAAAAGAAGTAGTAAAGGAGAACAAGGTAACATGCTCTGCATCTTGACTTTAGTAGTATATATCCATATTTATGTAGCCATTTTTTATATTTATATTGTCAAAATTCATATAACTATAAAACTAAACATGGCAAATTGTACCATATATAAATTATATCTCAACAAACATGACTTTAGAAATCTAGTTCATAGGGTGTTTTAACATTACTGGGCACATACTAACCACCTGATAAATAATGGCTATTATGATGATTCATTAAAACAACCAGCATCAGACTGACTCATAATGGGGTAAGAAGGGGGAACTGAGAGGAAGAGACAAACTCTAAATAAGGCAAAGGGGTGGGAGGGGAAGGGAAGGGCATGGGGTAAGAAATTATGGTGGAATGAGATGGACATCATTATCCAAAGTACATGTACGAAGACATGAATGGTTAAGAATATACCTTGTATACAACCAAAGATATGAAAAATTGTGCTGTATATGTATAATATGAATTATAATGCATTCCACTGTCATATATAACAAATCATAATTTTAAAAAAAGAAACTGTGGTATATATACACAATGGAATATTACTCCGCATTAAAAGATAATAAAATTTAAAAAAATAACAGAAAAAAATGCTTGAAATCAGCACGTACTTACATTCACAAATCTGATCAGATGAGAATGCAGATACACTTTGTAAGCAATATGTTACAGTTTAATATCACACAAAGAAAGTTGAAAATGAAATTATGATTTGATGTACAGTTTCATATACTTTACTCCTCTAATTTTAAAAAAAATCTATGTATGATTAAGATATAGGCACAGAAATCACACTGAATACTAATCTTAGCGAAAATGAAATAATCTCAATCTGACAGGTATCTAAGTCAAACCCCACTGTTTTAGGGACTCCTTTAACTAGTACAGAATTAAAACTTGTCAAAGAGAGAACATGGATGGACTTGGGAACCAAAAAAAAAAATTTTTTTTTTCATTTTTTTGTTTTGTTTTACTTTGTTTTTGTTTTGGGGGTTTTGTTTTCCTGGTGCTGGGAATTGAACCCATAGTCTCACACTGTGCTAGGTAAGTACTCTACCACTGAGCTACATTTCCAGTCCTAAAATAGAAAGTATTTATCAGCAATTCTTATTTTCTCTCAGAAATAAGATTGTTGGAGAACAAGAACTGGCCAGAAAGAGAAAATATCCAACACATTGACTTCACACTCTGGAAATACATATTTGCAAGTCTGTTTTTTTCTTTGATACAAAGGATTAGAAAAAGAAACATAGCTTGCAAAAGCAATGAGGTTGGAAACAAAAAATATCACAACTACCTTTTTAAAATGAGAACAAATCACTGGCTTTAACTGAGTTCTTCTATGTATTAAAGTCTTTCCAGTAAAAGTTGTCACCAAATTCTAACAACTTTACTGAAAAAGTTTCAAGCTTTTCAAAACTCTTCAGGCTTCATTAGCATATACCCATGATGCTGTGATTTTTTTCTAATTCTGACTCTAGTTACCCTTGCCTTTAAATTGTATTGCACAATGCAAAACTTACTTCTTTTCTCAAATAAATTTTTGCATCCCTACCCTACTCAAAACTCTCCAAAACAGGCTTATGTATGACCTCAACCTTTATTTATACTATCCTTTTGTTCTAGGGTCTCCTTTGTTTTCCAGGACATATCATTAACATTCATTTTCAGTCTGGCTTTTCTGCCCCTCTCCATATGATATAGTCTATCCATTCATACGAATTCTGTAAGGCAAACACTTATTGGGCATTTACTGTGCTCCCAACACAAATGTATCCTTGCAAGTCCCAACATTTTCTCAAGCTCTTTCTTTCAGTGGGCAAGGGAGACATCCCTAATGACTTTCCTCCACTTAATAGGCAGTTGGAGACAGAAATGCCCGTTTACTCCATCATTTTAAGTCACACTTATAGAGCTGTGAGATAAATCAAACAGACTGAGGCAAGGGTTCCATATTAGTTGAGTAATTACCATATGCCAAACACCATTCTGGGTGTGAAAGGCAAAGATGCTATTCTAAAAAAATGTGGTTTTTCTCTATGTATTTGAGTGTGTATGGTGGCTGAGAACAACAGTGAACACATTAACAAAGAACCACTTCACACAGTGTGACAACTGCTTATAATACAGGTTTGACCACTAGCAAATCATGAGAGCTGTTAGAGAGAGAACAGGAAGGACCACTTTGAGTTAATGGATCCATGTGAAAAATGTTAAACAAAGCATTAAAAAACCAAAAGTTGCAGGACAATCAAGGTAATACATGCTTGTAATCCCAGCTACTTGGAACGCTTAGATGGGAGGATCATGAGTTCGAGGCCTGTCTGACCAACACAGTGAGAATTTATCTCAAAAAAAAGAAAGAAAACAAAGTCCTTACATTTTATCTGAGGTTCAAAGATTTTCACAATCACATTTAAATACACGTAAGTTTTATTAAACTATCCTAAAAAAAAAAAAAAAAAGCCCCAAAAGTAAAGCACAAAAAGCGTCCAAAAGCTAATGATGACTGCTGTCTTCACATAAAATATTTACTGATTGTCAGTTTCCTGATACCTAGTTGTGCTTTAAAAGTATAGTTCAAAGGACTGGAGTTGTAGCTCAGTGGTAGAGCACTTGCCTTGCAAGTGTGAGTTCAATCTTAGCACCACATAAAAACAAATAAAGGCGGGCTGGGGTTGTGGCTCAGCGGCAGAGCGCTTGCTCAATCCTCAGCACCACATAAAAATAAATAAATAAAATGAAGGTATTGTGCCCAACTACAACTAAAAAAAAATAAATATTAAAAAAAATTAAGGCATTGAGTCAATCTACAACTAAAAAAAAAATTAAAAACAAAAAGTATATTCCAAAGTACTCTCCTCTCCCTCGTGAGTTCAGAGCTTTCCCAGCTCTTGATCACTCCATAAGGACCATCAACCTACAGATCAGAACCAGTTTTACGTTCTGGCCGAGAAAACTGCACAGAAAAAGAAAGACACTAACACAAAAACTCAACTACAATCTGTTACACCAAGAGAAGTGCAACGAATTTGTTCTGGGGGTAAAATGCTTGGCTCAAATCAGGGGACACCGGGACTGGGCCCTAGGAAAGCCAGGTCGTGGGAAAAAGAAATCTATTTCAAACAAATTCAGACTAGTAATTGAATGACACTTGGAGTTCCTAGACTAAGCTCCTCATCTGTAAACCGGCGTAACAATAACTCCTGCCTCTCAAAACAAGAGACGCTCTGAGGAGATGGCTGTTCAAGAACTTTAAGAGGCGCACGGACCCGGACGGTCTCAAGTTTCTTAAACTACTTCTCCCAGGAGGAGCGCAGGTAGGAGACTAGCCAACATTATTACCTTGACCAGCCACACGCCCGTGTTCTGCTTGGCGCCGGTTAAGTCGAGTTCCCCGCGCTCGGCCATAGGTCTGTCGCGGGTGGAAGCGAGCGGGCTGAAACAGCGACCTGGGGAGCTGGAGCTGCGGGGCAAGTGTGGAAGCAAAGGGCGAAAAGCGGTAGAAAGTAGAAGGAGAGAAGCTGGGGTCCCTCTCTTACTAGGATACCAGGAACCCGGAGAAAGGAACACGCCGCTGGGAACCGGAAGCCGCGCCTGCGCACTGCTACGTCAGTACGGCGCGCTGCTGTGAACAAACTTCATGCTCCCGCAATTTCTTAGGTGGGCGTGGCTGCTGGCGGTGTGCTTTTGGGTGATTTAAAAGTAGCGTAGAAAAAGCCAAAACGGCTGCAATGCAATTAAAGACAAGTTCTGCATAAATTAAGAAAAATAATGTCAAAACGGAAAAAGGGGGTTCAAAGAGACAAAAGTCCGAGCCAAAGAGAGCGAACGTCTGAATGACAGGATGGTGGTAATAGATTGGCACTCCTGTCAAACTCATGAAGCACAAATCCACACTGGGTCGGACGGAGTAACCCTGGATATGTTGAAAACCTGCACTTATAAACCTGAAAAGAAAGTGGTGTCTCAACTCAGCGGCTGCCCCCAAGCTCTTCTGATTGAGCAAGAAGAGCACATCTCTTTCAAACTCCAAAATCTGGATGCCATATAATTGGATCTGTAACAATACAACATGAAAGAGAGGAAACTGATTATTTAACTTCGTGCTTAAGCCTTTTCTTCTTTCTCCTCTTCCCTCTAAAATAAAAGTCAAACTTCTGTTTCAACTGAGCCCTCTCAGTTTGGTCCCTTTGTATTCACTGTGCTGCACATACAACCGCACCAAATCCATCCATCTCTCTGAACTCATCAGGATCTTTCTCAGCTACTTCAGATCTGGGCAGAGTGCTCTGCAGAGGTCTCCCTTTCCCTCCAATGAACTGTCTCATCCTTTCCCTCACTCTCATCCTTCTCCTTTGGTTGATAAACTTCTACTTTTGACTAATGAAAATGTTACTAATGCAAATGTTACTTCCTATGAGACCTTTTATCAACTCTCCCAAAAGAAGTTCAATAGCATATTGCACTGTAAACATATGCATGGCTACCTTTGTCTTCTAGACTATGAACTCCTCCTAGGTAGAAATACTGCTTTCCACCACCACCACCCAGCTTTATTGAGTCATAAGTGATGAATAAGAAATAGTGCTTTGTGTACAACCAGAGATATGAAAAATTGGGCTCTATATGTGTAATATGAGTTGTAATGAATTCTGCTGTCATATATAAAAAATTAAAATTTAAAAAATAGTGCTTTATTCATTTCATATGTGGAAGGGCTAGCACAGTGTTTAACTATTGTCAGATTTCAGTAGACTTTGGTTGAATGAACATTCACTGGAAAGAAACAAACAGTAAAGTATTGTAAAAATGGCAAGTAATTTATTCAATCACACATGAGAGCCATACACAAAATTTTAAAAATTCTATTTCTGTGCTGCATAGGGCCAAGAAAAGCTGTCAGATCTTTGAGATTGATGGCAAAAATAATAAGAAAAATGAGAGGGACTTGAAAAGGAAGATTGCATTCTTGTGTAACAGCTTGAAAAGGCCCTAAAATTTATAAAGAGCAAGCAGATGAAGGGAACTGCTTTAAATTTTTATCAAGTAAAAAATATAAATTAAAATGTAAGGCCATGAGAGAAGGGAAGTAAAGTAGCCTAGAATACCCTAGGATTGAACTTTAAAGTAAAAGATTGTGAACTTGACCTTTATCTATGGATCATGCAAGGCCTTAAAATGTGAGTATGTGGGGATGAGAGATTGGGAGAGAAAAACCCACTAAAGAAGAAGCTATTGAAGAAAGAAAAAAGTAAAGATTTGAAAATGATTATACAGAAAAAAGGAAATAAATAACAATTTATTCAGCACCTCATCCTTGTATACTGTTGGACAAAGAACAATCTTCCCCTACCTATCTGTCCTTTCTTCTTCTCCTTCTGGTTTGAGAAGGGATGTTTACAAAGCTGTGAGAGAAAAGGAAGACATGACCTCTGTGAGCCAGATTGGCAAATTTATTCTGGAGATCCAGAAAATGATAGACATTACAGCCGGATCTTTCACCTAGATAAGACCTATTTTATGCCAGACATTTGACTAGGTGTTCTATGCATATCATCTCATTTATTCCTTGTAACAATTCACTAGGGTAGGTATTATTATTCCTCAATATAGCCCCATAATTATTAAAGTATCAACTTCCAAGAACCCAGATCATGTCCTAGTTTTCTGCACAGTGGAGTGTGGTATCCAAAAGTCAGTATCTAAGAAAGGTACTTTCAAATTCCTTACTCTCCCACATGGTTGACTACTCAAGTTCTTATCAAGTCTTTTAAAGCACAAATGCAATTGTAGGAGGCAGGGCCCAAAATTCACTGCTGGCTACAACTTTTCCAATAAGTCTAATAGTGCTTAGACCAAGCTGCAACTCCATCTTTAAGACTTCAAACCTTAAGGCAGCCCTCTCTGCATACTAGACCCTGTTTTGTGGGTCTCTAGACTAACTGCAACAGAAACAGATCCCAACCACTACCAAACATGCTCCATTTTTAAAAGAGTATTCTCTGTGTCTAGTACCTCCTGCCTGCATTAGCATTCTCTGAGGGATGTCCTAAAAATGTAGACCTGAGCCATTATCCAGGTAAACAAAATCAGAATTTCCAGAAATGGGTCTGAAAATTGTTATCTTAGCAAGGTTCCCAATTATTTCTTAGGCACATCAAAATCTGACAATCATTATTCTAATCCTGCATCAATAGAGTTTATTCTGATGGAGCCAGCATCAAAGTTCTGAAGCATGAAAAGAAAGCTTACTAGAAATTTGACTTACAGCTAGAATTTCCCCATGTCTTGTAAATTCAGAACTCTACAATTCTATGAGGTAGCCATTGGAGTAGAAGCAGCAACACTACTAGAAGATATGTTACAAGTGAGTTGTGGGAATTTGAATGACATGTTCACAGCACATGTAGACTAGAAGGAGAGTTTTAAATTTGTGTATTAAATAATCACATTAACTTTTTTGTGTGGTACTGGAGATTGAACCCAATGACACTCTACACTGAGCTACATTCTCAGCTCTTTTCATTTTTTATTTTGAGACTAAATTGCCCAGGCTTGTATTGAACTTGTGATCCTCTGGAGTTTCTGGGCCTACAGGCATGCACCACTGTGCCCATCTCAGATTTACATTTTTAAAAGATCCTTCTAGTTGGTTTGGAGAAAATGTATTGGGGGGAACTGGAATGGAAGCCAAGAAGCCAAGTGAGATATTTATTGCACTAATCCAAGTGGGAGGGGACAATGGTTTGGATTAGGGAAATAGGATTAGAGATCAAGAGAAGCAGATGAATCCAGAGCATATCAGAGATAGATTTAGGAGGTAGAATTGATAAAACTTTGTGATTCTTAGCTGTAGCAAAATAGTACCAACTACCAAGTGATAACTCAGTGCAATAAAACAAAACATACACATACAACAACATGGCTCCTTCTGGGGGACCAGACAGGTCTCTGCATATATTTGCCTGATGGATGACATGATTCTGTTGAATTACTTTTGTAAATGCCTTGTGTCTGATCAAACATATGGCTGCTGTGTCCTGCAAGAAACCTTCACTCTCAGTAAGTCAGTTTAATTGCCCATTAGGGATTACTGTAGGCATAAGTGTTAAATAAAGCATGAGAAAATTTAATTTATCATTGCTGTAATGAAATCCAATTTGTTTTTGTGTGTAGTTTATCAAAAACATTTAAATTATACTTTATATATTAAATAAAATTATAGTTAGAAAATAGCACTAATCAAAATGCCCAGATAAAATTCACAAATAACAGTAAGTCCTAAAATACCACATTAAACAGATGGATCCTCACTACTGTTCAGATTTCAAAGCCAGAAAAGCCACGCGGGCGGAATATCAATGAGGAATTATGTCCACTATTCTCCTAAGGGCAAAAAGCTCTCGTTTTGATGGATAAGACTTTCTACCTAAATACACAAACATCAGGGGCAGGAAAGTTTTCTCATCCAGAGTTAGGCGAAAATATTAGATAAATATCAGTGGGTGGTAGCCAGGAAATTTCAATTTATAAAAGCAGAGCTCTTGCCTTATTTCTGTCGGCAAAATTTTCACTTTGCTCTGTGTAAACAACTCAGCTGACATGGCAGCTCTGCTGTACAACGTTGTTGAGGGTGTGGGGACTTTCCATCTTCTATTTCATCATCTCTGGTGTGTTGTCCTGTCTACACAGTAGGCCACAATGCCTGCATTTTCCAGCCAGAAGAAAAGAAGGGGAAAAGCAAAAAAGACTGTTCATCACCTTGGTCAAAGCTTTAAAAGAAAAAAAAAATATATATATATATATATATATATGTACACACACACACACACACATATATATATACATACCCACACACCTACCCACACACATATATATGCACACACATACATATATGTACATACACTGTATATATCGATATATATTATAAATATATATGCATTTGTATATATACAAACACAATTATAGTCTGTTTAGATTGAGATCCAAACAAGGGCCATACAATTTGATTGATTTTTATGTCTCTTGGTTCTATTCCCTTCTCCACTACCTTCTCTCCTTCCCCCTCCTGTTCCTTACCTCCTCCTCTCTATCCTTTGCTCTTCCCCATTGTTGAAGAAACTAGATTATTCGTCCTGTACAGCTTTTTACATTCTGGGTTTTTCTGATTGATTCCCTAAGGTCTCATGTTTGATGTTACTTTCTTCCTTCCTTGTATTTTCTAAACATATGAGTTAGATTTCCAGGCATGATCAAACTCAGGTCTGATTTCAGTGGGGGAAAAAACAATTTACTCATGTGTGGCCTTGTGCACTTCCAGCATGAGGCACATAACCTCCTTCATTCTTTCTATGATACAAGCAGTCATTAATAAGCATTGACCAGACCTAGTAATTCATTAGAGGTTGTAAAGTTGTTATTACTTCTCTGGAGAAATTTTCTCGTCATTGTTCCCATGAGATATAGCATAAAAACTTATGTGAAGGCATGCATGAGAGACTTTCATCATGTGAAGGCTGGGTAGTTGGTCAATGTGTACTTGGATTCAAAAATGCATCTGAGAAGACTGGGATTGTGGCTCAGTGGTAGAGTGCTCCCCTA